TATATATATATATGTATGTTAAATGTATCTTCTTTAACTGTGTTTATGTGTGCACCATATACAACAAGGATAATCGCTCGTATGTTAACCTACTTGCCAATAAACCTGTTTCTGTTTATATCGCTAGACCAGGCTTGGGAAGTAACAGATTGCATGTAATGGGATTAAACAATCGAAATACCAAAATACCATAGAAAAGACGTAATCCGATTACTGTTACAATATCAAAAAATTGGGGATTAAAAGCAGGATTACAGTGTGACTAAAAAACTCAAGAGCATATAGTGTTTGTTGTAAAAGGATCAGATGTTATTTCTTCTCTGTAAACTGTTCTGTTGGCCAATACTTTAATTGTGAATCTATGGAGTAGAATAGAATTGGAGGGATGAAACCCTCTTTAATGGTCACACATGCAGAGCACACAGCACACAGTGAAATGTGGCCTCTGCTTTTAACCCATCCTAGTACTAGGAGCAGTGGGCAGCTATTGCACAGCGCCCAGTGAGCAATGGGAGTGTGGGGGAGGAAGGGGGGTATCCGGTGCCTTGCTCAAGGGCACCACGGCAGGGCAGGAGGTGAACTGGGACTTCTCCAAGTAGCAGTACACACTCCACATTTAGGTCTGGTCGGGGAGTTGAACCGGCGCCCCTACGGCTCACAGTCCAAGCCCCTACTGACTGAGNNNCCTGTACTGTGAGGGGTGAGCAGGAAACTTCCCCCTCTCTGCAGGGCCATGGCCTGCCTGCTAAAGTATAATTGGTAATCGTCATCCTCACTGACCTGCTGCGAAAAAACGATCACCATGGCGCCAAAGTACTCAACACAGACCATCCCCTCCAACCTCACCAGAGCCGACTACAAACCGTCGACCCCATCGGATAGTTCAGACCACGCTGTTGCAAGGGTGCCTAGCCTGCTGCCCACCCAGTATACTCACACTTGGCCTCTTCCACAGTTTGTCTCAAGAGGGAGGGAGAAAAAAACACAAAAATAGACCTGGGCTGAAGGTTTTTTGGAGGGCCTCTCATCGTTGCATGGGGTCTCACAGTGCATAAAAAATCCAACTCCAGTCACAGGACTGGTTCCTGCTCTTGCAACAAATCAGCACTGTGTCTGGATTTTGATGTTGCAATATGGAAACACACGGAATCGTGCTGTGCTGGGCATCAAACACGGATGTGTATTTCCAGGTTTCTTCCACTAGTGTCCACGGACCTGAATTTCTCCCATTCCTCGAACCGTCGTCTTAATGAGAGGGAATGTGTCGTCAATGCGAAATGAGAATCCCGGACAGAATTTAGTTTTTGAGATAGTGCTCAGCCATCTCTTTCATTGGAGTCCACATCGGAGGAAGCTCGTGCATCCTCAGCGATCCACGTGATACTGTACGAGGGGATCGAGATTATATTCGCCCAAGAGAATGTTTCGACAGAGAAAAAAGCCTTGAGTTCAATGCGCCCCTCATGTTCTCTCCTGCAGCGAATGTATGTAGATGCAGCAGCCAGTGGTGGAGAAAGTGTTATCAAGATGATTTACATTTGAGTAAAACGGTGCCATACCCTCACCCCTAAAAATTACTTGACTTCAGTAACCAAGTACTGGCATCGAAGTAATAAGTATATAAGATGATTCGGCAAAATGTAATTTAGTACTGCAGAAAACATTGGCAGTGAAGAAAATATTTTTAGAATACTTTTAACACTCTCAGATTGAAGCAAGCTGGAACTGTGAAATGTATCTCTAAACAAAAAACATATTTCAAACTGCACTATTTTTGTGTCATTTTCTGTTCATGTTGAAGAGTTTTTGCTTTGAATATTTTGTGTCAGAAATCTGATTTTATAAAGTAAATCAGGGGGGGGGGGGGGGGGGGGGCCGGGGGGGGGGGTGTAAAATAAACGTGTGTGGAGTAAAAGTACAACATTGCTCCCAAAAATGTAGTAAAGTAGTAGTATCACAATGAAAATACTCTTGGGTAAAGTACTTCAATGTACAACTTCTCAGTGCAGTACTTGAAGGTAAATGTACTTAGTTACTTACCCTTCCACCACTGGGAGCAGTGCAACCTTCTTCTCCATTGTATACATGAGTGTTTTTTGGCATTTGGCAGGGCTCTGTGTAAAGGAGGTGCTCTCTGTCTATGGTCTAACCGCAGTGGGACTGAGAATGGGAGGGGAACCCCAAGCTTTGATACCCGTCTCAACAACCCCAGCACTGCGAGTAAGCAGGCCCACAACTGAACCGTGTGTGTGTGTGTGGTGTTTGGACAGATGTTGGATTGCTTTTTTTTCACGGTGGTGGGTGGTGGTGGTGCGGTTGCTCGTCAAACCAGCAGTGGATGTTGCGTCTGATAGAGGGGGTTGGGGGCAGTGGGTAAAAAGAAGGTTCTGGTGAAGAAAATAGTTCATGGCGCACTGGGATTTCCTGCCTTTGCCTGGCTAGCCCCCCCCCCCCCCCACTCCCTCTTCTGTCTACTCTGTTCTCGACGCCCTTCAGCAGTATGGAAACTGTTCGGACAATGTTTCAGCTGGAAGATGGTTGGAGTAATTGATTTAATGAAAAGGGCTGCGGGGATCGAGGGGCGAGAGATTGGGTGTTGATCCAGACTTTTGCAATTTGAGTTTCCATAATACCACCCCCTCCATTAATCTATCCAGCTACAGGCGTGAGTGGATAGTTGTGACTGCACACTCGCATTCCCGTCGCTCACATTGACATGCAACATGTCTGAATGTTATCTGATCTCTTATCATACACATCTGGACAGAGGCTGGAGAACTCAGATCCTTGTACTTAAGTGGAAGTCCCAAATTGAAGGAATACTGTGTTACAAGTGAAAGTTCTGCCTTCAAAATGTTACTCAAGTAAAAGTACAAACCTATTAGCATCAAAACATACCTAAAGCACCAAAAGTAAAAGTATTCATTACGCAGATTGGCACATTTCAGAATAACTTTATTGTATGTTTTGATCATAATTATTGATGTGTTTATCAAAGCTAGTAAAGGTTCAGTTAATTTAAATCCTTTCTATGCTGAAAGGTAGCTTGTGAATTTACTCCAGACAAAAGTCTTATTTAAGTGTTGTTTATATTTCACATCATTAATCAAAATCTGCAAAGTAACAAAAGGTATTAAATGAATGTAGTGGCATAGAAGTACACGATTAACCTTTGAATTGTAGTGGGGTAGAAGTACAAATTAGCAAAACATTCAAATACTCAAGTAAAGAACTTGAGTAAATGTAGATACTTTACATGACTGCATCTGGAATATACATTGCTTCACCCTGACGTTGCCTCTATGAAAAGAAGCACAAGGCTGCTGCTCCTGCTTGTATTAAAGTAAAAAAGGAAGGACAGGTGCGTCACCATTTGGCTTTCCCTCAGACGTATCGCATGGGTGTCAAAGAGGAGGTGGATGGGGATGAGGAGTTTAATGTTTATACCAGCCCCCTTCTCTTCCAGGGGCTTTGATCTTAGGTGTCGGTGGCGGAGCTAGGGGGCATGTGTCACTCATTAGCAGTGTGGTGAGAGTGTGCTGGCTCGCAGCTTTTCCTAGCACACTGTAGGATGCTGTGAAAATGGCTGCTCGTGGGGTGTTCCTGCTCATAAACCTTGAGGGTGGCGTCAGGGTTTTTTTTGGGGGGGGGGGGGGGGCAGAAAGAAAACAAAAACCTTAAAGGAAAGCAGAGCAGTTCACTTTAATAATATGTGTTGAGCACGGCTTTGCCCTGCACACACTTATGCTAAACTGATAGCACAGGAAGTGGAATAGACGATTTCATTGAAAAGCCCCGCTGCCAGCACTCCCTGTCTTAGGAGAGGGGGGGAAATGGAAACCAGATGTCTGAGATCCACCGTGAATATGTCAAAGCCCTCAGACTATGTCAGTTCCTCCACATCCCATTGGTGGACAGAAACGTTTCTGCACTGTCATCAGTAATATCTATAATACTCCCTCCCTGTGGATATCTCCTACAGTTTTGGCTGCATATACGACCTGGAGACTCCGGGAAAGAAGCCTCACTGTTCCAGAAGATGTTTTTTTCCCTATGTTCCTTAGGTTTCAGACCTCACCACATTCCTCAAATTTCAGGGTAACTTCCCATATCCCAGGGCTCAGTCGGGTGGCAAATCTCTCAGCACTCCTTTGTGGATAGATTGCTTTCTCTTGCTTGGGAAAATAACAAGCTATAGAGTAATGACTTAACAAGCAACGGGATAATGGCTTCAACATGTGCCGGACTGGTTGCATGTGTGCGTGCATAGATTTGGGATTGCGCGAGTGCTTCCTCGCTCGACTGTGTGTGTGTGTCTATTGTTTGACTGTGCAGAATCAACTGGTTCTCTGTTTGGTTGCAGTTGTTTGAAAGCTGGACCGCTGATGAATAGACCAGCTCTCCCCCAGGTCTGGAGCCTCGGAGGCTCTAGGGAACCAGCAGCCCCCCGGTGCGTCACAATGACAGGGACGGCCTGTGGGGTGTCTGTGGGAGTGCCGGGTGTTTTCCATCATAACCAGCTGCTGCATATACTGTGGGCCTCCCACACAGAAGAGCCCTCCTCAGTGTGTACGCCTGTGTCACCTACATCTGTGTGTTTGTATCTGGAGACAGTGTGACAGCATGCGTGGTGATCTATGGCAATATGACAGCTATCGAATGTTTGAGTGTACATGAAGCAGATTGTTGCTGTTTACTATCCGCATATGTTCCTGGTGAACACTACCTCCAGTCTTTGATCTCCATTGGAACAAATGGGACGCACTCAACAACGTTATCTCTCATACCGGTGTGGTTTTAAGAATCTGTGAACTTGTGAGGCTATTCATGGGAAATGACACATAACAGACACTATAGTGACTCAATAAGCAAATCTCTGCCTGGCTGTGATGTGAGCAGCTTACTCATGGCATGATGCAGCTTGCCCGGGTAGTAACTTCTCCTTTTTCACACACAACTTTCTACGTTTCAGCAAATCAAAAACCTTTAAACGTTTAGAAATTACGAGCACACCACCTGACACTGTTTACACACTGCAAAGCCATGACATGTCCTGACAGGTGGGAACCAATCTGCATCACTCTTTCATAATACTCTCAGGGCCTCCGGCAACAGCTTCAACGTCCTTTTGCACCTTGTCTGGGAAAATATGCTCAGGTGCATTCCAGTTTGGCAAACAGGTGATCCATCCTCCAATGACAGGTCAAAGGGAGTCTAAAGTGCTTAACATGTGGGGGTGACTCTCTGCTTTTAGCCATGCTAGAGGCATGGATTGCAATGTCTGTTGTATTTCTGTTCACCACTGCACACACGGAAATATACAGCTATCAGGATTATCAATACATTTAATAAAGACAGTCATGTTGTCTAGAGGGTCAATCCTACTCATTTTGGTGATCCCCTTCTTTGTTCTGTTATGTGAATTGTTTTAATTGCTACACAACCGTTGTTTGGATTGACATACAAATAAGCATCCATTTCCCCCTCAGGATTGACTAATCACTTAGTTGATCCCTTAAACGTCCCAATTTGATATTCATAGCTTTGATGAAGCATAAAACAACAATTACTTGCTATTTGAATGTCTAGTGAAGTCATGTTTACCAAAGAACAAAATGAAGTAACTCTCCCTGTGTGTGTTGTAATCCAAGCCTCTCTTCATAAACATGAGGGTTAGCCAGCTAGCTATTGGTGGTTTCTCTCCTACTGCTAATAATGTCTTCCAAACTCACAAGGTTGTGAGGCAACCCTCCATATCTCCCTTTAGTTTACACTGTTAGCTCTTGTTAGCTGTGCTGCTGTTG